CCGGGGCCACAGTAAAGTACTAAAGAAACATTAGTTTTATTTAAAAATGATCAGCCTTTTATCAAATACAAATTTATGCCAGCATTAGCACATTTTACATCGGAACTGTGTCCTTATCACCAATGTATGTATGTCTACCATGCGGCTTTCAAATTTCACACTGGGAAACCACAACCTGACTCGTAATTGACTGACCCTCCCCAGCAGATAGAACAGGAAGTTGAACGCAGTAATTTTCGAGAATTGTCTTTTGTGACCTACTCAATCGTGTCTCGAGCTGGCACTTTAAGTCGTCCTAACCTTTTGACGGACCTCTTGTTTTCTGTAACCACCTAACACTTTTGGAGCCCAACACCTTGACTAATTATGAGCCGTTAAAACTACATAGCTAGTGTCTCTACCCCCCTCCCCCCTAAGATTTTCTCGTTTTGCGAGCCCAATCATTTTGTCATTGCATTTGCACCATTTCAGATTCACGGCCTGGCCTTCTGGTTCGATGTTGGCTTCCTCGGTTCACAGAAAGATATTTGGCTTTCGACTGCACCCACCGAACCACTGACCCATTGGTACCAGGTATTTCTGTCGCTTTCCTTTTTTTCTTATCCCCCTTGCCTTTGCCTAGTCCCCCATTCATGACGAGGCCCATCGTTGAATTTGTAGATCGTGGCAACTGAAACTTGAATTTGGTTATGCTGGCAAAGTTATGCGCAGCACCTACCTCACTCCTTCCAGGCCGATTGTGTCCCAGCGGCGTTGCGACCGAAAATGCACGTGGTGGTTAGCCTGTGGTGAAGCCTCCACCCAGAAGGCAAACAATGCGATTGCTGGAAGAAGAAGTTTATTGGCCTAACGTTTTGAACTCTCGCTCAAAACCATCCTCACCTGCGACTACCTCTGATGATGGGTTCGCCTAAGAGTCCAAAAATGCCAGGCCAACAAACTTATTCCAGCGACCGCATCTTCGCCTTTTTAACTGTCTCCTGGAACTCGCCTGTTCGTTTATATCACGATGCTCCCCTGCTTGACCCTTGCTGAATACACGATGGTTCCTCGGTCTTAATGAGATATCATGGTTACTTAATTACTCACTTTGGTGAAGGTTGCAGTGCGGGCGCCCTGAATAAAACTCACTCTGATCTGAATCCTAGTCCGAAAACTAGACTATCCCGTTAGTTGACATCTATCCAAGTCTTCTAAGGATGAATGGCAACTAACAAGCCTGTTAGGAAAGGTCGCCCCGAAA